TTATATCCAACAATTGTGGCAAAAGGGCTTTAAACACGCACATCTGATCTTGCCAGCTTTCTACCAAAAACCCTTCAGTAATTTCCAGATCCTTTTAGAACAAAATCCTCTTTCTTTCTTTCTTTCTTTCCTTCCTTCCTTCCTTCTTTCTTTCTTTCTTTCTTTCTTTCCTGAGCCATCCTGCCCCCTGTTGGCAGCTCAGTGGCTGCTCAGCTCGGGCCGGGACTCGAACCGCTGTTTCTCAGAGCTCAAACTCTTGAGCGAGCTCTTAACCAACTGAGCCACTCAGCCGGCCCAAAATCCACATTCTTTAATATGGCCCAGGGACCCTGGGGTACTGGTGTCTGCCCACTTGGCAGCTGCACTTCCCTGTGCGGCTCACTGTGTCCCAGCCACTCCATCCAGCTCCTTGAACAAGCTGCTACCCACTTAGTCTTCCTGGGGCTATTTCTGCTGTGAGGAAGCATACTCTTCCACCCTGGTGCCTGGCTAGCCAGCTTCACGTCTCTTCTTAAATATTTCTGTTTCAGGGAAAGGAAGCTCTCTCGGAAGCTCTTTGTTCTTTTTCTCCACACTACTTAGCAATATTGAAATTAAGTAATTAGTTGTGTAAGTGGGTTTAACATCTGTCAATGCTATGGGCAGGGGACACCTGTAATTTTACCTCACCATTGTAATGCTCCTACCTGGCATAGTGCCTGGCACATTGGAGACATGTGAAAATTATTGGATAAGTGGATGAATGAATTAACTTGTGTGGTCTATAAATACTCACGACCTCCAAATGTCATGGAGGTCAAGGATGTAATCCTAGATGTTAAAATGTGATCCATCTATCACTGGATCTCTAGATATTTATTTGCTGTAGAGAACATGTTAACCTCTGTAAGTGCCCAAGTACATTGAGAGAGTCATTTGCCAGCAGCTGTCAACCTGGAGAGAGGTCCTGGGCAGTGAGCTGACAGAGCCGGCTGTGACCATGTTCCTGTTGAAAGCTTTTGTCAACAGCTGAGATGAGGATGTTGGTGGGGCGGTAATCATACTGCTGGGAAGCTGGAGGGATCGCTCCTGTGTAGGGTGACATGATGTGTCCAAAAGGATCTCACTCAACAGTTTAGAGAGGTGGATCAAATAACAACACACAATTTAATAAGGAAAATACAGGGCACTGGACTTAGGGCCCCCCCCCATATATAATTGAACAGAATGAGGAACATTAAGAGCAAAACGTGTGAAACACATGGAGATTTTAATTGACTGGATGAGTCAATAGTGGGGTGTGCCTGCCAGAGATGCTGATTTGACTTTAGGCTCCTTTAATAGAAGCAATGTGTTGAAAAATCTTTGAAGTCAGACCACCCTTGCTGTGCTAGGTCCAGTTCTGAGACGCAGATGTTGAGGGAGGTACTGAGAGTTGCATATCACTGACACTTGCAAATCATGTCATATGAAAAACAGTTGAAGGACTGGGGATCCTTAGTGAAGGAAGAGTAAAATTTGGTAGAATGTAATAGGCTGTGAAGCAAAGGGCAGGACCATTAGATTTGTTTTCTGTTGATCCAAAGAGGGTGCAGGGTCACCAGGGAAGTGGCTTTCAGGTTAATTTGAGGAGCTGCCCAGCAGGGGAGTGGAGTTTGCTGGGTTCCCCTCTATTAAAAGAAATCACAGTCAGGAAAGGGAGAAATGAGCATGGGGAGAGCTCTCTGTCTGCTTAGGGAAGGAATCTCAGGGTGACAGAGTCCCTTCCTCCTTTGCGCAGGCCTGTACCCTTATTTGAACCCCCAGCAAATTTGGAGTGCCACGCCAGAAGTAAATGGTCAATTAAAAATTTATTTTTGGAGATCTCATCTATATCTAGAATCCCCCGATCTATACTAACTCTCAGAGGATAACTCTTATTTCTTTTCACTTTTGTCACATGTGTCACCTTTAGAAGCAACAGAGTCGAGGTAGAAAGGCCACTACTGTGGAGAGAATTCATGTATGTGGTAAAAATTGGACAGGCTGTTGCCAAGGTCCCTCATCACCGAGTTTCTGTCATTCCAGTGGAAGGCAGAAGGAAGTGTTCTGTAATCAGGGGCAATTGTGAAACAATGTGGGAAATGCCGTGAAGAGCCTTTACCATATGGGAAGAAATACAGCTTTTTTTAATAATTGTGGGCACTATATATGCTTGGTACCCCAACCCAGGGGCACTGTGTGCCCTTGGCCCCAGAGGAGGACTGAAGAGAAATTATGAATGGGATGGAGTGAATTCTCCCTCCTAGAGAGGAAAAACAGGGAAGTGCAACTCTTCCTGCTAATATCCTTTTTTCAGTAATTCTCTTCGACTCTATATGTTAGAGCATGTGTTTCATGAAGAAGCCAATGGCATTTGAAAAGAGATAGTCAACTAAAAATTATGATTCTTTAGCTCAACTTCTCTTCCCTGGTTTGTACATGAAAACTTACTTTCTGGGGGTTGGGTGGAGAAGCACGTATAGATAAGATTGTCCATGAACTTTGTGTCAAAGCATGAAGCGCAATGTCCTCATGAAAATTTTAGCTCAGAGTAGACACATTTGATGGCACTCATCACTACAGGAAGCAGCGTTCACAATGGCATGAGTTGTTCGCTCTGTTTTGAAATAATAAATTCATTGATTAAAAGACTACATTTTCCGAAAGAGATTATACATCGCACTAGAATTTGGTATTGCTTTATGAGCATATAGCCATAGCAGTTGAAAAACTGACTTGAATTATAAAACTTTAGAATTTTAAAAGCTGGAGTTGGGCTCGACGTTTCTTAGCTGTGTGACTATGGGCAAATGAGGTAAACTTCCTGTGCCTAAATTCCTTGCTGTGTAAGATGAGGATAATAATGCCTATCTTGAATGGTTCTTGTGGGAATGAAATAAGAAAATATGTAAAAGCCCCCAGCACAGCAAAAAAAGCAAGCAGTCAGTTAATAGAAGCCACTGAGCAAACTGTGGCCAAGCCATTGTCCTCTTGCACGATGCAGAGCTGTGGCAGTTGGGGTCCACGGCTTCAACAGCATTAGATTTGGGGAGTTTTGATGAGCTCTCTGTTAAGTTTGGATTTTTATGGGGAAAAGGATGCATTAATTCTAGTCACCTCTTTAATCAGTATCCTGGTGATGTGAAGGAAGCAACATCAGTTTTTGAAAATTACTTGAATTAGGAGTTTCCTGGTTAAATTTCATTTCAATTAGGAGTTACTATTGAATAGGAGTTAGATTGACCAAAGGCTACCCTGGAAAGTAACTTAGGTACTTCTGTAGTTACTTCTGTCAGGTTACCGAATACCATTTAGTACCAGCTTGCAGTCCTGCCTAAATGACAGGTCAGCAACGTAGTGGCCAGTGGGTATTATTTAGTGTGCTCATCTATTTAATTATCAGATGCCCATTGTTAGGTATCCTGAAAGGGTTAATGATACCCAGCTATTTCTGGTAAGAACACATTGCAACTGAGAGAATCAAACTCAAAGGTGTTTCTTTGAACACATTAACTGCATGTCCCAGGTAGAAGAGCTAGGAAAGAGGTAAGATATGATTGAGTTACTTAAAGTGCTTCAGAAATGACCCTGAAAAAGTATCCACAGGGGTTAGAAGATGGAATTTATATCCTGGTTTAGCATTTGGCAGAAATCGCTTAGCATTTGTCACTGGAAAGATAAACAGAACTTCTGATTCCTGTTCTCAAGAAAATGCAGTTGGCTTCTTACTTTCTCTTCATTAACTGCTTGGCATTAAATTTTGAAGGAATAGACATAGTCCTTTGTGTTTAGTTAATTGGGCGAGTTCATTGCACTGTCATCCCTGGGCTATTCAATAGTTCAAAAATAAATATTGCAGCACTTGTGGAATGTGTAATATGCATCTCATCATAACAAATGGTAATTATTTAGTATTTCCATTAAGACTTTCAAAGTTTTTCAGAATAGTCATTAATAATAAGTAGTCAAATACATAACTGGGCTCAGTGGGCAAGAGAAAAATAAAATTTTAATTTTCTGTCAAAAGGTGCAAGTTCAGGAAGAGAGTAAAACACATCTGTGTTTTGCATACGCATGCATATTTGGGACAAATACATGTCTCAAGCGACATGACTGAAAGTCAGTAGATTCACTAGATCAAAATTCAGGCTGCCCGCTGAAGCAGGCTAAGGTTTCACGGAAGTCTGCCATCTGCTCCTGCTCCCTAGACTTTTGTGGAAAAACTGGAGGAAGCTGTGAACTGCCTGGGCTCTGAGAACATTCCTGCCCCGGGACTGGGAGCAAGCGAAGGCTGTGTGAGCTCATGGGGCTTTCCAGAGCTGACCGCCAGCGCTGGCAGCCACGAGGTGTCCAGTAGTGAAATCTGAATCTATTGCCACATATGCAGCTCCAAGCAGAGGTCACACTCTTTCAAGGGTGACTCAAGTCTTGGGGTCAAGTGGAGATGATGGGTGGGATCTATGCGTAGATCTGCCCCTTTCTAATTAGGGGGGCTGAGGATGACACTACAGTGGGTAGGTTGGGAGGGCCCAGGTTGGTCCTCTCAGGAGGTGCTGCAGGGATGATCCCGGGCCAGAAGTGATGCGAAGGCCATCACACTGGCTTCCATAATTCTGGGAAAGGTGTCAAACCATGAGGTGGCATCAGAGTGCGTTGTGTGGTGGGGGCAGGAACTGTTTCCCCTGCCTCCCCTGAGGGACGGGGGTCTCAGCTCAGGGCCACACCTCACCTCTCTGTCTAGCACATTGCCCGGCTCGGACCTAGCCCCATCCACCGTCCCCAGGTCCACCGTCTGATCTGCCCTTACCTCCAGACATCCACTCCCGGTACTGGGGAGGTTCAGGGGTTTGCTCAAGCCAGACTCACTGAGGTCGCTGCGGCGGGAGCGGGCGCGGGGAGGAGGAGGACCTGGGGCGCAGCCGTGGTGGGTGCGCCCTGCCAAGAAGGGCGGGGGCGCAGGGCGCGCACGCGGAGGAGAAGGAGGGAGCAGGGAGGGCGTGTGAGCGAGTGAGCTACAAGAAAAGGGAGCGCGCCCGCCGCTGCCGCCGCCCTCCTCCGAAGAGAGGCTGGAGTGAGGCTGTGCGAAGCGCCGCATTTCAATGAGGACGGGCTGAGGCACATCCCTGCACTAGCGGCTGCAGCCCAGACGCCCGCGCTCCTGCAGCTGCTGCAGCCCAGTCCAGGCCCCGCCGCCCCGCAGCCCCGCAGCCCCGCAGCCCAGGCCGCGCCCAGCCCAGCGAGGACAGCACCAGGAGGCAGCTCCGCGCACCGCCACAAAGACCCCGGGCGGCGTCTCTCCACAGACTGGTGCGTGGTTTGCCTTCACCGGGGAAGGGAGCTGCGGGGAAGGCCAGCCGCGGGGTGCTAGGGACCGCGGGCGTGGAGGACAGAGCAGACGCTCCCCTTGGCCCGCCCCGCCCGCCGTTCCTAGAAAGGCGCTGCCCGCCTGGCCAGCCCGGCCCGGCCGGGGGCGGTGTGTGCGGGCGGCCCTGGAGCTGCTGGCACCTGCCTCTTTTGTCTGGTGACACCGGGCTTAAAACGGGGAGTCGGGCGAGCGGGTCTCCCCAGCTTTTCGCGGTGTTGTTAGTGGAGAAGGAGAGCCAAGGCAGAGGAGGTTGGCGAGGTGTTGGTCATTGTCAGAACTGGCAGCGGAGCTAGGACCAAGTCTGCGCCTAGAAGGAGTGGCCCGGCCAGGCCTCTTATTGTGTGCGCTTTCCCGTGTGCCCGGGAGGGTGGTGTGCGCCGGAGGATGGGGCGATCTCCGCGTGGTGTGTGGCTGCAGTGTGGGTGTTGCAAGTACATTTGCAGGGTCTCAAGTTCCTTTGGGGATAACGAGGCTGCTCATGTACAAATTAGTACCTGCAGTGCTAAAAGCACGCGGAGAGGAAGAGGCATTTTCCTCCTAGCGGGAGCGCACGCACAGCCCTGCATTGCCCCACAAAAGAGGCTGCTTTTGCAAACCAGGTTTCCTCGGAATTGCTGCCGGATTTGGCAAAGCGGTGCTTGTAGGAGATGGAGCAGATGAAAGGTTTCATTCAAACCTGCCCCCTCCCTCCGCACCTGTGAATGCTTGTCCAGATTATACGTGTTCAGCGGCCACACTGCAGGCTGTTCCGTGAACACGTTTTATGAAATGTTCAAGAAAAATCGCCTTTTGATGGGAAAGGAAAGTAGGACAGTGTGTTAGGTATGACTGGTCACATGAATGCGGGTCAGAGGGGATTTTAAGAGAGGTTATATGTAGGAACAGTAGAAAGCATCTACACACATCCTGTGATGTCTGTGTCCAGGGCGGTGCATGCACTGTGAAGGTACGTGTGTGCCTCTAATTCTAGCCTGTCCATCCACTAGCATTCTAGCCCTGCAGGCAAAAATATGCCTTGGGACTTGCAGGTGCAGCATCTATTTAGATGTTGTAGCGTTCATGCCAGATTATTTCTTGGTGTGTGTATGTTGCGGGTGGTGGGGGTGGTGTTCGAAACAGGAACTCATGTGCTCATCTAGAGGAAGATGAACACAGGGTCTTCAAAATGGTGAGAAATCTCACAGAGAAGAATCCAGTATGCTGATTTCTTGGCCTGGCAGTGTTTATAGGAAAATCTCTGATAAGAGCCAGCGCCCCTTCTTTCCCACCCAGGTGTCTGTGATCTCTGTGGCTGAGGCGGTGTGGTGACCTTCTTGGTACCAGGGCGCATGTGGCCCAGGCCCGTTAGCCACCGATGGTCTGTGAACATGTGACTGTGTGCTTTAGCCGGCTTCCAGTCACAGAGTGGGAGCCTGTGGAGGCCCATTGAAAATTCTTGGTTCAAATATATGACTAAGCCCCCTGGAGAGCTGGGCCAGCCAAGGCAAGGGGAAGAGGACCTATTCTGATGCCAGAAGTCATTACTGGAATGCTAGGGTGTGGAGTGTGGTTTGTGACATTCATTTAGTGTTAGCTGTAGCACTGAAAATGATTTCACGTTGAGTGTGGTTTTTCTTTGTCGCTGACATCAGTGCCCACTTTGGGGCAGGCTCAGTGAAGGGAAGCAGAAGACATGGTCCCTGCCCTGGTTGAATGTGTGATGCAGTCTGAGGAAATATGCCAATCGAATAGAGCAAAATCAACTTTTCTCTATTTTCAGTTGATCTTTTTTTCATTTGCTGTGGAATTCTTGGTTTTAAAAGCCTGTTCCCTCTAAGGAATTTGAATAATTGCTACATTATTTGTAAGTGGACGAGAGCCCTTTCAGACTAGATTTGTACTCTCTGCTGACACAACTCTGCCATCCTGTGCTAGGGCCCTACTTGATTTCTTTGGGTTTATGTAGATTTGGGAGGAAACCCTAGAGTTGAAAGAAGGATTACTGGCTTTAAAAATAAGACAAAACCTTCAAAATCCAATCTGGCCTTTATAATTTACAAAGTGAAGAGTTTAGTGAGTTGGTGTGACTAATGGCAGTTTCATTTTCTCACCCCACTTTTGGAAGACAAAAGAGCTCCTTTAAAAAACAAATACATTTTAAAAAGTAGGAGCAGGTATACTATCATGAGCAAAATAGTGATTCTGTTACTCAATTAATAGCTGCCTGAAGGATGGGATATCAACTGATAATTGTTTTGAAGTGATCTAACTTCAAAATCAATGAAACCAGTTCATACCTACCTACGAGTATATATGCTATAACTTTTCCTAGAAAATGCAAATTTAGACTTATGAGTTATTAAGAGACATGAGGTCGTTTTCATACTTGGAGGAAAAACCAATACACTGAACTAATAAGCGCTCCAGATTTTAATCACACTCCGCTTGCCTCCCCTCCCCTGCCCCAGCTTGGGTCAGCAATAGAAGCATGAACAGCTTAAGACATTAGAGGCCTGGTGGCCACTGCCTCCTCTTTCTGCAGACGAGGTCTTCGGCAGTTCAGTGGCCGGCCCAAGGTCACAGAGCTAGTTAGGAGTGAGGGCTTAAGAAATTCCTACTTCATATGCAATGAGGGTCCAATCTCATGGGGTCTAGGCCTCTAGGACACAGGACATGGGGCGGCGAGGAGAGAGGGCCAGCTTTGGAGTCAGAGTAAATCTGGATTCAAACTCCAACTCCCTCAATTATGACTTTGGGACCCTGTATGTATCCCATAGTCACCTTCAGTCACAATAATGTTACCTGCCTCACTGTATTGTCATGAGGCTTAGAAGATAATTTTTAGCATATTATACAACAATTGATTGCTGTGTTTTAGTGTCGGGCACATCATAGACATTCAAGAAATATTAGCTTTGTCCACTTCATTCATTTCAGGAGGACACAGTCTCTAGCAGTGCTTTTGAACATGAATTTTTAGCCACTCTGAATGGCTCAGAGGTCCTTTATTGAGGGTCACAGAAGGGTCGGGGAGGTTTGGCAGTGCTTTTGGTTAGTTTAGATTGACCTTTGGAAAGGGGATGTCATCTATGTGGCAGGATTTAGGGAGCACATGTAGGTCCTTGCCCCAAAATTTCCATATCCCATATACTCGTATTTTATCTCCACATGCCTGAAATTTTGTCATTCGTGCTTCTTTCCTTTGAATGCTGAGCTTCTTCCACTTTCTAGATCGGCCTGTTAAAACCAGGACCCCCTGCAAGGGGCAACGCCACACGCGTTTATCAAATAACCCCTCAGCAAGGATGAGTTAATCCCAAGGGCAGCTTTCTGATAACAAGGCTCCATGGAAAGTAAAATGGGGACCATTGGGGTGCAGGCATCTCTTTCAGAAGGTTGGTGGAAATCAGGAGGACTCCCCGGGGGCTTCCCTAAACAGAAGGCGGAGATTCTGTTCCCCCAGCTCTGTATGTGACAAAGGCAGGAACAGAAAAGCGGATTTTATGAATAAAAGAATATTAATACTTGTTACATGCTAGATCCTATCCTAAGTGCTTCATGTATATTAACTTACTTGAGCGTTAATGTTAACTCTGAGGTAGGTACTATTATCATTCCCATGTGTGACTGAGGAAACCGAGCCTTAAAGTTGTTTAACAAGTAGATTTTCTGAAGGTTGTACAGATGGTTCCAGGTCAAGGCTGAATCAACAGCTTTAAGCCTCGATTTCCTCAACCACAAGACACAGAGCGCTTGGTGGAAGGAAAGGCAAAGCCCCCCAGAGAAGAAGTAACTTTTGTCCCTTCTTGTGGTTATTGTGCTTTTAGTTCTTCTCCTTCTCTTCCTCCCCTCTCCTTCTCCTCCTTTTTCTTCTTTTTTTACTCCAATTTATCTGAAGCATTAAATGTTAGTAAATGAGTTATGGTGAGTTCATTTTTTAAAATAATTTCCATTGACTATGTTGGAAAATCTTCCTTCAGTTGGGAGAATTTACAGATTGATTCCATTTCCTTTCCATCTGGCCACGTGGAACAGTAAACTGTTGACAATCTGACTGTGAACTGCCACCCACCCTTTTTTATTTCCTGGCCCACCACCACTGCTTATCTGTAGCTGTGTGGGGGTGTGGGAGTTTGTTTCCTGCCTGTCCCCGGCATTGGCGTGCAGCTCCGCAAGCAGCCCTGAGCTTTGGGGGCAGGCAAACCTGTGTGGTGGTTCTTTGTTTCAGCATTTCTTAACTGTATTACTTGGAGAAACTTAGGAGGAATTTTTCTGTGTCTCGGTTTGTTCAGCATTACATAGGAATAATAATACTTTGAAAGGTTTGTTATGACTATTGGAAATAACAGCTGTTCAAAGCCTGATAACGTTGTAGCTTAGGGTGGTCCGTACATAGGAGCTGTTTCTAACAAAACTAGGGTTGATTAATAAGCTGTTTCCACTGGGCCTGTTCTATTCTATTTCTTTGTTACCTTCTTTCTCTCCCAACTTGATAACTCATATTAAATATATCATTAATTATAGCAGTATTTCCACCAGCTGCTCTCAAGCTGAGCCTTTCAAATCATGATCTTAAAATAACATCAGTATGTGTCTTTGTTGCTGTGCCTCATAGGTTCAACTTTAACCCCGTCATGTCCTTCGGCAGAGACATGGAGCTGGAGCACTTTGATGAGCGGGATAAGGCGCAGAGGTACAGCAGAGGGTCGCGGGTGAACGGGCTGCCCAGCCCCACGCACAGCGCCCACTGCAGCTTTTACCGGACCCGCACGCTGCAGACCCTCAGCTCCGAGAAGAAGGCCAAGAAAGTTCGTTTCTATCGAAACGGAGATCGATACTTCAAAGGGATTGTGTATGCCATCTCCCCAGACCGGTTCCGATCTTTTGAGGCCCTGCTGGCTGATTTGACCCGAACTCTGTCGGATAATGTGAATTTGCCCCAGGGAGTGAGAACAATCTACAGCATTGATGGGCTCAAGAAGATTTCCAGCCTGGACCAGCTGGTGGAAGGTGAGCGCTCTGAGATGACTCCCCAGTGACCCTGGAGGCCAGTCTCACATTTCCACATGGTTCTAGCCATCTCCCACTTGATCTCTAAGAGGTCGCATTCTGCCGTATGGCTCTCATCCTTACTGTTTCGCCCGTTTAAGAGTTCACATTGATGTACTGTAGTGTAAAAAGAAAAAGAAAAAGCTAATGGTATTAGGTCCGCTAGCTCCTAATAATGGGCTGAGGGAAAAAGTGTCTTAATTCTACAGCATACTCTAGTTTTTTCTCACACCCATGCTCCATTAATTTTTAAAGTCCATTTTTATAACTTTAATCACATAGTTCATATTCATTTCTAGATACACTGAACTGTTGCTATTGTGATGTCTGAAAGTACTTGAATTGAAAATAATGAATGGATTGCGAAGTTTTAGAGTTGAAAGGAACCTTAGATAGGTATCAAACCCATTAATTTTATCACGGGAGACTGAGGCCCAGAAAATTCCAGTTACGTGGTACTTAATGGTGATGCTGGACCACAAATTAGGTTTTCCAATAGATAATTCTTTCTGATATGATGCTTCCTTTTAAGCTTAAAGGATTGCTGTCTTTCGATGTGTGGTACTTGAGGCTATAAAGGAATTAATCTGTTCAGTTTATTTTTTTAAGTCCAGTTTAGGTTAATAGTAATGATCCGTTTTAGACATTTCACATGGAAGAGGGCTGTTTGGGTCCATGAATGAGACCTGGTGCCCTCACCCGCTACTTTGAGCTACACTTGCCTCAGTACCTACCCCATTGGAGCATGGCATAAAGCCTCTAATCATCTTAGAAATCATAAGCAAAGGAAAATGACATGCAGAGAAACAACTGGGATTAAATTCATGCTAAGGTGTAAGCGAGATGGCTGATCCTCTTGGAGAGCAGGTTCTTCTAAGATTGAAGTCTCAAGGCCCCAGGGAAGGAAAACATAGCACAAAGGAATGTGGGAAAGGAAGTCTGGAGGTTGGAAGTATTAGCACTTGATTTCATCCTGAGTTCATCTTTACTCCAGATACGTTTGCTCAGGCCCTGTTGTCTTATTGGATCCTGGAGGAATCCCACACGTGTAATCACCTCCCGCTCTTGTGCAGGGAGCAGGAGGCATTTCTTTCAGCCTCCTGTGGAGTTCTGGGCTGCTCTGCCCTGACCGCACACAGGCAAGCTCTCTTGTCCTCCTGTGGAGCCAGAGTTCGTATGTGATCCAAGGCTGAGCACTTCTGTGTCTTTCTTCCAGTTTCTTTCCCGTTCTCCCTTGGCAGGCATGCCACTGCAGTCACAGTATGACTGGACTTGTGAGGGTGTGGAGGAGACTGGCTTTGGTGTGTTTGTTTTGTGGGAATTCACATCTCTTTTTGATGACTTGTCACCCTGCCAAGATGCCTGTACACTTGGCCTTTTTCCTTCTCTTCAGATGAGGGAACTTCCAGTAAATTAAAGGGGAAGAATGAGCTTGAAATCTTTCTGCTTCACCTTTGATTTTTGTGCCCTGTCCTTCTCATGACCTTGAAAAATACAAGGATTTAAAAAAAAACCCAAAAAACTTTTGGTGGAATATTCCAAGGGACCTGGATAAAGATCAAATGCAAAGTCAAGTGCATGACCAGTCACCAGTTCGTCACTTTGAGGGCTGATGGAATCGTAGGGAAAGTATGCCAACATCTCCAAAGAACATGCTAAGAGAGCCAGAGCTGAGCCCTCACTCTGTTAAAGAGTCGTGTGTGCAGCATCTATGGTGGGAGGGGCAATTCAATGTTTCCCACCCAGACATGATCTTTACTGAAAAGCAGCCAGAGATATTCCCATGATTCCCATCCATCAAGGAGAGGATGTAAGAGGTGGAACATGATAGTACTTTACATCCAGGGACCAACAAAGTCATGGCATGCTTCCAACAATCTTCTTTGTCAGTTTTTATTTTATTTTTTTAACACAAAAGAATGTCTGCTCTGAGAGACTGCTGTCCTGACTGAGGATAATAATGATAGCTCACCATTATTGATCCTGGTCTTGCTTGTATGAACATATTTAATTCTCATAGTGATTGTAGGAGCTAGGTGCTGTTATCAACCTAATACTAAGATGAGAAAAGTGAGACACTGAGGTGTTCAAAGTCACACAGCAAAAAATGGTAGAGTTAGGGTTTGAGCCCAGGAAGGCTGGTGTCAGCGCTTGAGCGCATAGCTGCCACTAATAGGATAATGAGTGGGGTATACTTAGAAGTTTGAAATGAAATTTTATTGTATTAGCTTCTTGAAAACAAATGTTTTTAACCATGACTCAGTTCCAGGAATGACAGAAACTGCTGCCAGAAACACTTTAATATTTTTGTTTGTATCCAAATACTTTCCTCCCCAATCAATATGAAGTAATTGCCGATTGAATATTCTGATGTTAAAAAAAATTACCTTTTGCAAAAATATACTTTTTTTCTGATTGAATGAATGGTTACTTCAGTACAGTTTGTAAGATCACAGATTAGCTGCATTTTCAAAAATAATTTCAGTTTAAGCAGATTTTTTTCTCATCGAAATAAAATACTCATAAATTGGCATGAAACCACACTTAGTGTTGTAATAGCTGGAAACTCATTTAGATTTCCCTCTTTGTCAATTATATTTTTGCTTACTCTGTTAAAATACAAACCATTGCTTCATATTCATTAGGTTCATATCTCTCTTTACATACTAATTTTGTATAAACTTCAATGCATGTTATTAGCTTCTCATTTCCCCTTCCAATATGAAATTTGAGTTTTAAACGAAATCTCTTTAGTGGGTGCAGTGACAAGTATATTTGATTTGTAATTGTTTATTTTAAGTTTGTTCTTTCTCACTTATCTCAGACTGAAAATTCTGAATTACAGTGACATATGTGAGTTTCTTTATTTAAAATGGTCTCATAGTCACTTGCACTGTTTTATTATTATTAGACACAGATTATTATGTGTAAACTTGGTTTAAGTGTGTTGAGAGAGCTGGTGATAAGGCTGAAGCATACATACATGAGTGAGTGTGGTATGTGTGTATGTGTGTCTGTCTATGCATGTATGTATGTATATATAGAAACACACACGCACACACACACTTAAGAGTAAACCAAGGACGACATCCTTAACTGCTTTAAAATAGACTGAATATGATTTTTTAAGAATTATTCTATTTTTTTTTATTTTAGTTGACGTACAATATTGTGTTAGTTTCAGGTGTACAACATAGTGATTAGACATTTGCATAATTTAAGAAGTGATCACCCCAGTAAGTCTAGTATCCCTCTGACACCATACATAATTATAACTACTAGTAACTACATATATATATATATATATATATATATATATATATATATATACCACCTCTTCTTTATCCATTGGTCTATTGCTGGATACATATGTTGCTTTCATATCTTGGCTATTCTGAGTAATGCTGCAGTGAACATAGGGGTCCATATGTTTTTTTGAATTGATGTTTTGGGTTTCTTCAGAAAAATATCCAGAAGTGGAATTGCTGGGTCCTTCTTGGTCTCTTGTTTTAAAGTCTATTTTGTATGATATAAATATTGTGACCCCAGCTTTTTTTTTCATTTCCATTTTAATGAAATATCTTTTTTTCTATTCCTTTACTTTCAGTTTGTCTGTGTCTTTCAATCTGAAGTGTGTCTCTTGATCTGAAGTGTGCCTATTATAGGCACCATACTCATATGTAAGGGTCTTGTTTTTTATCCATTGGGTCATCCTATGTCTTTTGATTGGAGCATTTAATACATTTACATTATTGATAGGTATGTAGTTACTGCCATTTTATTATTCATATTTTTTATTTTATTTTATTTTTCTTCTTCTTAAAGGAGTCCCTTTAACATTTCTTGTAATACTGGTGTGGTGGTGATGAACTCTTTTAGCTTTTCTTGTCTGGGAAGCTCTTTATCTGTCCTTTGATTCTAAATGATAGCTTTGCTGAGCAGAGTAATCTTGATTGTAGGTCTTTGTTTTTCATCACTTTAAATATTTTGGCCAATCCCCTCTGGTCTGCAAAGTTTCTGTTGAGAAATCAGTTGAGAGTCTTATGGGAGCTCCCCTGTAAGTAACTCACTGTTTTTCTTTTGCTACTTTTAAGATTCTCTTTTTGTCTTTAAGCTTTGACATTTTAATTATGATGTGTCTTGGTGTGGGCCTCTTTGGGTTCATCTTGTTTGGGACTCTGTGTGCTTCTTGGGCTTGTGTGTCTGTTTCCTTTACCAGGTTAGGGAAGTTTTTCATAATTTTTCTTCCAATTGGTTTTCAATTCCTTGCTATCTCTCTTCTCCTTCTGGTACCCCTATGATGCAAATGTTAGTATTCTTGATGTTGTCCCAGAGGTCCCTTAAGTTATCCTTATTTTTTGGGGTTATTTTTTCTTTTTGCTGTTCTGATTGTTTTCTGCTATCTTATCTTCCAAATTGGTGATTCAGAACTTTGCTCTACTTAATCTACTGTTGATTCTCTCTAATGTGTTCTTTATTCCAATTATTGTATTCTTCATATTTGAATGGTTCTTTTTTGTGTGTTTTCTATCTCCATTTTTATGTTTCTTATCTTTTTGTTAAAGTTCTCACTGAGATCATTGAATATCCTTATAACCAGTGTTTTAGACTCTGTGTCTGGTAGATTGCTTGTCTCTATTTTGTTTAGTTCTTTTTCTGGAGCTTTGTTCTGCTCTTTCATTTGGAGCACGTTTCTACATCTCCCTATTTTGGCTGCCTTCCTGTGTTTATTTCTGTGTTTTAGGTAGGGCTGCTATGTCTTCTGGTCTTAGCAGAGTGGCCTTATATAGTAGGGGTTTTTTGGGGCCTAGTTGTGTCTTCTCCAGGGTCACCTGAGCCAGGTGTCCCTTGTGTGGGTTGTGTGTGCTCTTCTATTGTAGTTGAGCCTTGATTACTGTTTGTGCATCAGTGGGAGGAATTCATCCTCCAGCTGATTCATTGTGAGAACTGACCATGATTAC